AAAGAATATACCAAAAACATTTCCATACTTAGTAACACAAAATATACCAAAATCTTTCTGTCCAAAAAGTTGTTTGTATGTATTCATTGATGAATTTAGTATTTTACAATACTCGATATGTGGAAATATAATATTATAACTACGAAGAGTATCTGAGAATGACTCTGATGGTTTACCATTAAATATATTAACAAATCTTTCATTTGGATCAGCAACAACAATAACCCCTTTTCTTTTTTCAGTTCCATCTGTCATTCCATTAGTCTTTTTATTATATTCAATAACTAATCCATTTAACTTTTTGACAAGGTTTAAATATCCTTCTTTTATTTTTGAAGCATTGGTTTGAGAAATATCTTCTGGCGGATGGCAAAGTTCTTGAAGTTTTTTATTGATATCATTTTGAACCTCACTTATATTAGCTTGAACTTCATCTACGCTTTGAGTACTTTCTTCATTACAAGTATCAGGTACTACTGATATATCTATTGGGTTTTCATCAGTTTGTTCTGAAGATTGTTGTTGCTCTGGATGTTGCACTTCTTCTGAGTTATTATTGTGGAAATTCTCATTAAATTCTGGTTTTTCCATTGTTAATGGTTCACAAGTGGGATATGAAGATCTTTTATAATGAAGAATGATGTTACCATTTTTAGAAATGATGCTTTTTAAATATTTAATTAATTTTTATTGGTGGAAATTGTTATGTTATTTAATTTTATTGAAAAAAAAAATCAAATAAATGATGGCAAATAAAAATAAATTCTGATTATGTTTTCATCATATTGAGAAGTGATTATTTCAATTTATTCTTCATGTTTTATTTCTATTCATTGGTTGTTTTTTTTCAATCATTATCAATTTAAATATTTCATCATTTAATTTGTTATTTGATTTTTATTTTAAAATAAATGAATATTAAAATTATTCATTATTTATATTGTTATTTTATGTTTGACATATCAATAACATTATGATTATGGTTTATCTCATTTATCATCAACATTGTTTAAATATTCTTTATTGATAACACATCATGTATTCAATTCAAAATTATCAATGATAAATATAATGTATCATAATAAATAATAATAATACTATCATAATAAATAAATAATCTTATATCATAATAAACAATAATCGTTATTGATAATACCTCCATAATAATCAATTATTATTGTGTGGTATGTTATCTCACCAAAGGCACATCATAACCAGAAGATAACTAGGTGAATCGAAACAAGGGACATATTAGTGATTTGTGTTGTGTATCTGACATACAACATTCGAATCAAAAATAAAATAAAAGATATAAAGAAATAAAATAAAAAAAGAAAGATAAAAATAAGAATAAGAATATAAGAATAAAAAGAAATAAAGAATAAAAAAAGAATTATAAAACAAATATAAAGAATGATATATCAATCAATAAAAAAGAAAAGAATAATATCAAAATGAATAAATAAGAAAAGAATAATAATAATATAAATGATAATCAATTATAATTTATTTCTACTTTAAATTATATTGTATTTCATTTATTATATTTTTATTTCATTTACCACCCTCTATCAAAACAATTTCTTGGTATTCTTTTATTTTTCTTTAATTCTTCTTCACATCCACAACCATAAAAACATCCATCTCCAAATGATGTAATTGATGATGATATATTAATTGATTTTAATGATGAACATCTATAAAAACAATTAAATCCTATTTTATTAATTGATGATGGTATTTTAATTGATTTTAATGATGAACATCCATCAAAACATTCATATCCTAATTTACTAATTGATGTTGGTATATTAATAGATGTCAGTGTTGGACATTCATAAAAACAACATTTTCCTAATTTAGTAATTGAAGATGGAATAATAAATTCATTAATATCTTTCTTTTCTATATTCTTTCCATTGATTGTTTGTAGATTTTCTGGTATTTTAATACTAACTAACACTGGTTCATTCATAAATATTCTTTCTTTACTAATATATTGTAGATTTTCTATATTCATACTAGTTAATGACTTACATTCATAAAAACAACCATCTCCTATTTCACTAACAGATGATGGTATTTTAATTGTTGTTAATGATGAACATCTATTAAAACAACAATCTCCTAATTTAGTAATTGATGTTGGTATATTAATTGATGTTAATGATAAACATTCATAAAAACATTCATATCCAAGTGATTTAACTTCTAGTGGTATTGTATTTCCATATGATTTTCTATCTGATTTTGTATATTTTATATTTTTACAGATATTTCCTTGTTCTTTTTCTTTTAAATATTTTGAATAACTTACTAAATACCATATTACTTTTTTAAATATTCTTCCATCATTAAATATTTTATCATTATATTTATAAATATGAAATGTTTCAATATTAGGAAAGAACTTTCTTGAATATTCATTTAATGGAATTGGATTAAAATGAAACCGTTCCATATTTCCTTGAAATCTTTTAATTCCTATTTCTAAATTAATA